AAATAATAAAAATTACCAAACACCATATTAGCAATCCCAAAAGACAACACATATTAACTAGTAGTCACCACAAGTTTATATTTTATGCAAGAAAAAGCATCAAATGGCCGAACATATAAGGTTACATAAAGAACAAATACCACCTTTAAGTATTATTTCTATTATGAGTATGTTTGAGTTTAAACTGGTTTTTGTTGAGGTGGGTGTTGAACTGGAGTCTCATACCATGTAGCCAAAACTGGTCTCAAACTCAACAATCCTTCAGTCTCAGCCTCTCAAATGCTGAGATTACAGGTGTACACCACCAGACCTAGCTCTTTTTTTTTTTTTTTTTGGCTTTTTGAGGCAGGGTCTTCCTGTAGTCCCAGCTGTCCTGGAACTCACTATGTAGATCAGGCTGGTCTTTAACTCACAGAAATCTGCCTGCCTCTGCCTCCCAAGTGCCAGGATTAAAGACATGCGCCACCATGCCTGGCCAGATCTAGCACTTAAACACTTTCTTTTTTTTTTGGGGGGGGGGTCTTTTTGAGACAGGGATTCCCTGTAGCCTCAGCTATCCTGGAACTATGTGGACCAGGCTGGCCTCAAACTCACAGAGATCCACCTGCCTCTGCCTCCCAAGTGCTGGGATTAAAGGCATGTGCCACCATGCCCGGCTTAAACACATTTTTCATTTAAAATAAATTAAACTTTGTTTAAACACTGGATTAGGACAATAAAATGTGGCACCATGCTAAGAGTAAGTCAGCAGCACTATATAAGTACAACAGGACAAACTATATATGGAAAAGGAGGGAAAGGAGCTTATACAAGGACTGGGGAAACAGCTCAGTATTACAGAACTTCTTTAGCATATATAAACCCTTTGATATTCAGCATGGGGCAGGGACATGTCAGAGAACAATGAGTGATAGAAAATACTTAATGTAACATGTAAAGAACATGACACTTATATACTTAAGAAATCATGTAGTTTATTATATCTGGAGGTTGAGAACCAACCTAGAGCTATTTCATAAAAATCTCAAAGCAAACATTAGCTTTAAGTTGGGATTTATACTATCATTACTTCTTTTGAGAAAATAGTTTTCTTTTTTTGGACAGGGTCTTCCTATACCTCCAGCAGGCCTGGAACTCACCAGGCTGGCCTTGAACTCACAGAGATTCGCCTGCCTCTACCTTCCAAGTCCTGGGATTAAAGGCCTGTGCCACCACACCTGGCTGAGAAAATAATTCTAAAGATAATATAGAATGTGGACCGGGAGCCAGGTATGGTGCTACACACCTTTGATCCCAGCTCATAGGAGGCAGAGGGCAACCTGGTCTACATAGGGAGTTCCAGGCCAAGTGGGGCTACAGAGAGAATTTTACTCAAAACAGAAGAAGAATGTGGGTGGGAGCAAAAGGTAAAAATAAAAAGCTAGACACTAAAGAGTATCCTATTATCAGGAGACCTAGGGAAAAGTTTGAACTCACCCTGGGCAACATATACAGACCCATACTTTGGGGTTAAGAAGCAGAATTAACGGCCAAAAACACAAACAAGGCTATACAGATGTTCAGAATGGGGCAATGTAGGTGTAATATACCACTACAGTAAGAATATATCTTTTTTTTTTTTTTTTGGTCTTTTTTTGAGACAGGGTCTCCTTGTAGCCCCAGCTGTCTTGGAACTCACTATGTAGACCAGGCTGGCCTTGAACTCACAAAGATCCGCCTGCCTCTGCCTCCCAAGTGCTGGGATTAAAGGCGTGCGCCACCACTCATGGCAGAATACATCTTTTAAGTTATTCAATTCCATTACTAATATTTGCAGGAATCTGCTGATTCTACAGTTACTTCCTGTTCCTATCTTTCATGTTGTCCTCCCTAGTTATTTACTTAGGGAAATAGGGCCAGTGAGATGCCTCAGTAGGTAAAGGCTCCTGCTGCCAAACTTGCCAAACAGAGTTCAATTCCTAGGACCCACATGATGAAAAGAAAACCAACTAATGCCAGTTGTCCTTTGACCTCCACACAAACGCTGTGGCATGCGCACATCCATACATATATATGAATATATACACAAAGGAATAAATAAAATGTAAACCTTTTACAGGACTTTATTTATCAGAGATCAGCCTGCCTCTGCCTCCTGAGTGCTGGGATTAAAGGCGTGCACCACCATGCCCAACAAGAAAGGCATTTTTTTTTAAAAAATATTTTATTATTTTTATTGTATGTGTATGAATGCATTGCCTGCATGTATGTGAGTGCACCCATCAGGCAATGCCGCGGAGGTCAGAAGAGGGCTTCGGATTCCTTTGGGACTGGAGTTAAGGATGGTTCACAGCCGCCATGTGGGTGCTGGGAATGGAACCCGGGTCCTCTGCAAGAGCAGTCAGTCCTCTTAACTCCTGAGCCATCTCTCCAGCCCCAGAAAGGCATTTTATAATCATTTAAAATTTTATTAACTTACCTGAAATGCCAGGACTTGAAGGATTTGATAAAGGTTTGGAACCTTCTAAAGACGGTTCTATTCCCTTAGAAAGAGACCCATCCACTAGAATATCAGCTTCATCAATATCCTCACAGGTTCCTCCAATTTGGAGAAAATGAAGCTCACCACCTAGAATTCAGTAAAGTTTCATCAATAAAGGTATACTGAAAAGAGATAAGAATTCAAAAGCAGTGTTATTTGGTTAAAATTCTTTCCTATTTTAGGTGTATTGAGTGATTTGCCTGCAAACAGGTAAGCACACTAGTGGATGCAATTTCTGCAAAGGCCAGAAGAGGGCATCAGATCCCCTGGAGTTACAGATGATTGTTAGCCACCATGTGGGTGCTGAGAACCAAAACCAGGTCCTCTGCAAGAGCAGCCAATGCTCTTAATCACTGAGCCATCTGTCTAGTCCCTAGTTAAAATTCCTAATTTAATATCACTTGATAGATAAAGAAAACTATAGAAGTTTGTGGTACCAAAGAATTTGGAAATTTAGTTGTAATGAATTACAACCAACTTAATAAAGAAAATAACAAATACATAAATATATCAAGATGGTTATTTTAGCTCATATTCATTACATAAGACAGTATTTGAGCACTTTAATCTCTAACCTTCACCAAATGCCTTAGAGGGACTATTACCATGATCCTCTTTTTATTTTTTACACAGTATTAATAAAATTTATTTTAAAAGATCTAAATTCTAGCCAGGGGTGGTGGCACACACCTGTAGTCCCAGCACTTGGGAGGCAGAGGCAGGTGGATCTCTGTGAGTTCAAGGCCAGCCTGGTCTACATAGTGAGTTCCAGGACAGCAGGGAGATCCTGCTTCAAAAAGACCAAAAAAAAAAAAAAAGAAAAAAGATCTAAATTCTAAAGGTTCTTTATTTAATTTTTGCAAGGAAACAGTTTATTTATTTTTTGTTTTTACTATAGTATTCTTATTAATTCACTGAGAATTCTATACAATATATTTTGATCATAATCATTCCCCACTCCTCCCTAACTCCTCCCAGATCCACCCACCACCTCCCTAACCACTCACAAATGTGTCCTTTCTTTTCAACTTAAAAAAATTATTGAGAATTTCATACATCCATAAGGTATTTTGATCAAATCCACGCCCTTCCTCCCCTCCAATTTCTCCTGTATCTTCCCATCACATTTTTCTGACAACTTCATATAATCTTTCTTTCTTTTTTTTTTTTTTCAAATGGGGCTTTTTGCTACTCTAACATCCTCCCTCCACCCCCTCCGAAGCTCCCAAATACTTTTGACATTGGCCTTTGGAACAGAGTATGTTGCTAAGAGGCCCAAGGACATTGTGAGTTTTAGTGAGGAAACTGGCTACTTTTCTTTGGGGTCTTTTTACCCTAAATGCCTAGCCAATTCCTACCTCCTATTCTTATCACACCATCCTCTAAAAAGGATGATTTCTTTTCTAAGCAGAAAGTGCTGCTCAGATTAAGACTCCAAATCTTGGTCTGCAATACTGTAGTGCCCCCCTGTAGCAAAGGGAGACAACCCGCTATTGTTCTAAAATGATGGCTAAATTGAAAACAAATTTTCTCCCCCTGTCTAGAAGCCTTTGAGAGGGAACTGATATTGATTCTAGCCACTCCAACAGCTATCAAAGTGCCTGAAAACAAATCCTCCGTCCATCATGCTCTCAAGTCCAGCCTTGGAAGACAAAAGAAAAATGAGGACAAACCCAATAGAGGGATGCTTTTGGAAGCTCTCACCAAGAAATTCCAATGGACTCTGTTATGAACATTTGAAATTTGCCCTGCTCTGACTTTTTTCTGGTTCCCTGTCTAGAACTTGTAATGCTAACTACTCTTTACTTCACATCTCCTATTCACCAGTGAAGGACTTTTCTCCCTACAGATATGAGTTATGCAATTTGGGAGTCTTTCAGATAGATCCACTGAAGGAGTACCCCAATTGCCTCACCCTGCATCCCTGTTCAGCATGGAAGAAGCCAGAGTGGTCTGCATCCTGATTCCCTACCATGATCCTCTTACAGATGAGGAAACCGAACGACTAACTGTACTAAGAAGCTCCACATCCCAGGGACGAGAGAGATGGTTCAGCAGTTACCAGCACTGGCTGCTCTTACAGAGGGCCCGGGTTCAATTCCCAGCACTCACATGGTGGCTAACAACCGTATGTTAACTCCAGTTCAAGAGGATCTAATGCAAGTCTTCTGACCTCCACCAACACTGCAAGATATGGGTGCACTTACACACATACAGGCAATACACTCATACACATTAAAATAAAAATTTGAGGGGAGGGGGCTGGAGAGATGGCTCAGCAGTTAAGAGCACTGACTGCTCCTGCAGAGGACCCGGGCTCAATTCTTAGCACCCACAAGGCAGCTCTGAACCGTTCTTAACTCCAGCTCCAGGGGAATCTGAAGCCCTCTTCTGACTTCCGCAGCATTGCACGACATGGGTGCACTCACAGACATGCAGGCAATACACTCATACACATAAAAAAATAAAAATAATAAAATATTTTAATAAAAAAATAATTTTTAAGAAATGTTTTATTATTTTTATTTTATGCATATGACTGTATTGCCTGTGTGTATGTGAATGCACCTGTGTCATGTAATGCCACAAAGATCAGAAGAGCACTTCAGATTTCCCTGGAACTGGAGTTAAAAACAGTTTGCAGCCAGGTACCATGTGGGTGCTGGGAATCGAACCCGGGTCCTCTGCAAGAGCAGTAAGTGCTCTTAACCGCTGAGCCATCTCTCCAGCCCCAAAATAAAATATTTTTCAAAAATAAAAAAAGATCCACAGCCCAATCTCTTAATTCCAAAAGTAATAAAAACAAATATTAATCTTTTTTGCATGTACAATGAAATAAAAGCAAATCAGAGCTCTAGTTTTCATATCTTTGTCAGAAAAAATAAATGTAAGAAAATTTAGCAACTATGTGAAACAATAAAAAAGTTTATGGGGGCTAGAGAGATGGCTCAGCACTTAAGAACGCTGGTTGTTCTTACAGAAGACCCGGGTTCGAATCCCAGCACCCACATGGCAGCTAATAACTGTCTGTAACTCCAGTTCCAGAGGATCCGATACTTACCTACATGTAGGCAATACATGTATACACATAAAACAAAAAATAATAAAATTTTTTTTAAAGTTTATGGAGTTTAAAGGAATGGAGAGATGGCTCAGTGGTTAAGAGCACTGACTGTTATTGCAGAAGACCCAGGTTCGAATCCCAGCACCCACATGGCAGCTAACAACTGTCCCAGGAGATCCAATGCCCTCTCTGTCCTCCATACATATTACATGGCACGGATGCACTTGCATACATGCACACAATACATATAAAATAAAATTAAAGCAAAAATAATTTTAATTAAAATAGCTTATGTAGCTATGCTTCCAACATGACAGATTAAACAACTGCAAAGCTAGACAAATCATCAGTCAACTGGGGTGACTAGCTATGAAATCCAGCCAATTCATTGTTACTTCCTAAGCGAGTTCATTTGGCTTGCAGAGAATACAAAGTTCAGAGTGGTGATCGTAAGTGGGAAGCAAACTAAGAGGCCTTCTAGTAAAGGGTGCAGTCCTGTTTGGGATAAGCAAAGTACTGGAAAAACCAAGCATACAACAGGGTTCAGTAGGGGCTCCACACAGAATCTATGTTAATCAGAGGCTGTGTACATGGACAACAATGATCAGAGGGTCCCCAAATCAGCCCAACCAAGCCTACACAACTATGCAAGAGACCTGAGAAATCTTAACAGAAAGTAAAGGCAGGGGAATGGAAACACAACCAAACTGGATAAAGAAAGCTGGACACAACAATGTTTGGCTGAACACTGCAGTGTGCTGACACAGAAACAGCATGAAAGAAACAAGTGTTCCTCCTCCAAACCATTTTCATGAAAGCAACTCTAACTAACTTCAATGGGTCATTCAAAAAAAAGGAGAAAAGAAAAAGTGGTCCAGACAGTGTGAGAGGAAATGAATAAGGGGAATGGAGGGGATTGAATATGATCAGAATACATTACATAAATACATGAAATTGTCAAAATAAATGATTTTAAAAATTAAAATAAAATAAAAAAGAAATGAGACTTGAAAATAAAAACCAAGGAAAAAATTAGGAGAGCCATCTGCAATAACACACTGCAAAGAAAATAGATTTCACAGAATTAGACAATTGAAATACAAAATATAACAAGGCAAAAAAAAAATCCTCAAGGAGGGGACTGGAATCTAAGCTGCTGTAGTATTAAATGCCAAGTCAAAAATATGACATGTCGGCCGGGCGTGGTGGCACATGCCTTTAATCCCAGCACTCGGGAGGCAGAGGCAGGCAGATCTCTGTGAGTTCGAGGCCAGCCTGGTTCTTACAGTGAGTTCCAGGCCAACTGGGGTTACAGGGAGACCCTATCCCCAAAAGACCAAAAATAATAAATAAATAAATACATACATACATACATACATACATACATAAATAATAGAACAGAAACAAAAAACTCACTAGACTTCTAAGCTCAAAGTAGACTTGATTCAGATCTTCCACCCCATCCCCCTGCCCCAGCCCCCTTTGCAGAGCTAGAACTGTTCACATTGCTGATCCAGGACCAAGGATTTCAGGCCAAAGGCAAAACAGAAAGTTCTATGGACCAATCACTCTGCTAATACAACCACTAAAAAGAGGCTGGTAAAAACCAAGAGTGGCTGGGATATGGAGATGAGGCTCTCTGAATGGAGTGACCTGGAGGTGGAGCTGGTGCCAGGGCAGTTGGGGGATAGAGGGCGACAGACACCTCCCTCTAAACTCCAGATTCATGCATGTGAGCTGTTCCTGAGGCACCAGGACAGACTCCTGCCTTGATTTGACCTTAGGCTACAACTGCTTAACCAAACATCTATAGAAGATTTAAAAAGGGTTTTGTAAAATCCTTTTTAAGAGGGTACTGGAGAGGGCAAGAGGTTCTTTTGTTAGGTCAGTGACAGCAAAAAGAAACTTCAGTGATCACACACAACCAACACAATTTGTAAAAATAGTCTAGTAAAAATCATAAACAGGTAGCTACAGCTGGCAGAATGCAGACATCTCCATGAGTGGGAGAATCCTGTTTCCA